GGGCCCTCCGGAGGGGGGGGGGGGGGTGTGGACATTAAATGGAATGGCCCTAAAGCATTAAGAACAGTGAGTTAACCAAGATCTTGTGACTCTCATCCTCGTTTCATCGTGAGCCCAAGGCTTAACGCTTCCCTATTGTTTTCTTGAGAGTCCCTTGCGTCTTGATGGGTCAATGTCTAATGATATCAAAGTAACTGTTAGAACACGATAATTAATCCAAAGTTACAATGTTCACTTACAAGCAACTAGTCTTATATACACCAGAAATTGTCTATAAACTTCGTTCTCAAATCTTCTCCGATTAGAACCTTCGTCGCTAAATCTTGGGTTCAACAAACTCATCAAACTTCTGACGGTTAACGTGTACGGTGGACGCTTGAAGATATCCAAAAATCTTGGAAGTAGACAACCAAGCTATAAATATAAGGTTTCCAATAGTGAATCGATAGCCACAAAATAGAATATTAAGATCGGAAGCCCAGTTTTACGCTTATTTTCTTGAAAACACGTATATGAAAACACATAAACTCGTAGTACGAAAATGAAGACGGCCATTGTTTTCTTAATTACGAAGACCGAAAAGCCTTCGGTTTTCGTTTTCGAAACACCCCAACTCACTTGGTAGATTCCGACTTTCTTGAAACCTTCTTGCAGCTCAACAATGCATGCCTCAGATGACGGTTCAGAAGAAAAAACTTTATTTTGGATGCCTTCACTGAGGAATGTAGGAATTTTTCCATTCTGAATTATACTCAATCCTATTGAAAAAGCAAATCGTTAATATACAATTATTTGCAGCTGACGTATTAACGGTATTATTCTCACAAGTTATTTGTAGGAATTAGGCAATCAACGTTAGCAAATCATTTTCTAATGAACAAGTAAATCAGTGCTTCCACTTTAAAGGAAATTTCTTTTTCTATTAATGAAATTATATGGTCCAAAAGGAAAATCTAAGGAAGAGAAAAAACTAAGGATTTCTTCCGAAAAACTTAAATATTCACCCAAATGCATTCATGGTGCAGAAGGTTTCACTATTTTTTTAAATTTTTGAGTGAATTATCAATTATTGTTAATTAGGTTTATAACTTTTCCTTCGTGTTTCCGAAAACTTCTGAAAGTTTTTGAGCGATGAAATTTAGCAACTTTTGGTTTTGAAAATGGAAGCACTGAAGTAAATGATAAATCTTTTATATATTTTTATTTTATATCTCCAAGTTAACAAACATCTTTATTTAATTAATTAATTAAAAACAAAGTATAAAAGTGTACAAGATTAAGATTGAAAATAAACAATGCAAAGTAAATGATTGGTCTTAGAGAAATATGAAAAAAGCATCAAAACAAGGTTTGTCAGTCAGTAGTATTGGTATATTAAAATTGCAGACTTTGCAAAAACATAGATTTTAATATGTCATACTGTTTATAGTAGTGTTTGTTTAACATTTTTCAAACTCACCTAATATTATGCCAATGGCTACATATTTCTCTCTCAGCTGTTCTCTCAAGCCTTTGTCAAAGTAGGCTTCCTTAATTTCGGCAAGGACCAGTCGAAAGAATTCTTTTCTTGGTCCACCATAGTCTTCAGCTACCTAAATTGTTAGATACATATGGTTGGATGGCATATCAGAATACTCTGTAGTCTGTTCACAATTTTGCATAGTTCATAGTTGAACTACGGTGTACTCAGTGATATGGCCCGGGAACAAAAAATATATATATAAAAATATAAAAATTAATTAATAAAACATTTGACAGGTTGGTGGCAGACAAAGTTTACATAATTAATAAAATGTTTGTGATGGGGACTTTGAGTACAGCCTGTTCTTTTCTTAAAAAAATAGGCACACTATGTAGATCATTCTCATTTTATTAAATTATTTTTCAGAGTAAATTTATGTTGATGGAATATTAATTTAAAAACCAAACTCCCCCTGTCGAGGACCTCAATTTCCAATGGGGTTAATAATTAGTAAATTTTTCCAGACAGGTAATTGCTGTTAAAATGTAAAAAATGCTGTTTCCAGAGGGGTTAGAATGCAAAAATGCATGTCCAGAGGGGGCTTGAGTCTCTTCCAAAGGGGTCAATTACAATTTGTTTGCATTCCAGAGGGGTAAAAATCCCCCAAAGCAGAGGTCCTCAACTGGAGGGAGGGGGGTTTGGTTTTTAAATGTAATAGCCCAATCTAAATTAATATACTTGCCTGGCAAGCAGCTTTTGAACTGTGACTTATGATTACCTTAACTATTAAATATAAATATTAATTACTTAAATATCAATATTACATACTTCACCATAAAATTGAACTTGCAATGTTTTTCTATATTCCCCAAGGAACATGATCTCCTCAAAGCTAGTTTCCATGAGATTGTGCCGATCAACATTTATGTAATTTGTCTCTCCCTCTGTTGCTTGAGCCACATTCTCCACTTCAAGCACTCTCCCAATGACCATTTTCTTCTGAAAATACCTCAAGATTTCAACATGACTAGCAACAGAACTTTCTTCACAAAAGGCAACTGTGACATTCACTGCTTCATCCACAGTTTGGCTGGCAAGATTGATTGTTTCAACTTCAGCAGCTTGTGTCAAATCAACTGTTGTTACACTTGATGATCGCTGTGAGACACTAGGTAAATGTACATCAGAGGAGGGTCGTTGGGAGGTACTGGATGGATCAGAGGAGGGTCGTTGGGAGGTACTGGATGGATCAGAGGAGGGTCGTTGGGAGGTACTGGATGGATCAGAGGAGGGTCGTTGGGAGGTACTGGATGGATCAGAGGAGGGTCGCTGGGAGGTACTGGATGGATCAGAGGAGGGTCGCTGGGAGGCACTGGATGGAACAGAGGATGGTCGCTGGGAGGTACTGGATGGAACAGAGGATGGTCGCTGGGAGGTACTGGCTGGATCAGAGGAGCGTTGCTGGGAGGTATTAGATGGATCAGAGGA